GTCAAGCGATTCTCTTGCCTCCCACCTCTTGAGTAGCTGGGAATACAGGTGTGCACCACCAAGCCTGGCTAATTTTTGTATTTTTAGTAGAGATGGAGTTTTGCCATGTTGGCCAGGCTGGTCTCAAACTCCTGGCCTCAAACAGTCCACCTACCTTGGCCTCCCAAAGTGCTGGGATTACAGGCATGATCCACCATGCCTGGCCTCAGACTTTTTAAAATTCCTGCTTCCATCTATTCCTTTCTTCATGCTTCATTCATTACTTAATTCATTAATTAATTAATTACTGAGTGCCTCGTATGTACCAGGCACTGTGGTAGGTACTCGGGTGTCTCATTCAAAAAACAACAAAAATACTTGTCTTCATAACGCTTACAGTTGATCCACAAAAGGTTTTTGAGTACTCAGTCTATATAAATGCATATGGATTTATAAGTTGTATGTATATTATTCTATGTTGTTATATCATAAAACATGGTCAAATAGGAATAGAAAAGAATAGGAAGGATAAAAATGTAAATAATTTCTGAGGTAGTCTTCCCGTATGCCACCTTGGAGGCCACTGTTCTGCATGATTTTCTTGTCCTAGATAATCATCTTAAAGGTTTTTCTAGTGTTGCAACTGAGCTTTTATTTATTATTATTGTTGTTATATTTTGAGGCAGAGTCTTGTTCTGTTGCCCAGGCTGGAGTGTGGTGGCGCGATCTCAGCTCACTGTAACCTCCAGCTCCTGGGTTCAGGCTATTCTGCCTCAGTCTCCCGAGTAGCTCAGACTATAGGTGCATGCCACCACGCCTGGCTAATTTTTATATGTTTAGTAGAGATGGAGTTTCACCATGTTGACCAGACTGGTCTCAAACCCCTGACCTCAAGTGATCCACTTGTCTTGGCCTCCCAAAGCTTTTAAATAGCTATCAAATAGATAGTCCTTCTATTTTGATATCTGTTCTAAATCTATTCATTTTATTAAAAGAGGATCCCCCCCTTTTTTTTTTTTTTTGCTATCTATAGGCTTTTTTCCTATACTGTTTGAGTTTGTTAATTTACTTTGTACAGCTGACCTTCTATATCCACTGGTTCCACATCCATGGATTCAACCAACTGTGAATCAAATATATTCAGGAAAAACTACTAAAAAATAACAATACTGTTCAGGCGTGGTGGCTCATGCCTGTAATCCCAGCACTTTAGGAGTGCTGGGCAGGCGGATCTCTTAAAGTCAGGAGTTCGAGACCAGCCTGGCTAACATGGCAAAGCCCCAACTCTACTAAAAATACAAAAATTAGCTGGGTATGGTGGCAGGTGCCTGTAGTCCCAATCACTCGGGAGGCTGAGGCAGGAGAATCTCTTGAACCTGGGAGGTGGAGGTTGCAGTGAGCCGAGATTGCGCCACTGCATTCCAGCCTGGGTGAAAGAGTGAGACTCTGTTTCAAATAATATAATAATAACACAATAATACAAATAATTTCAGTATAACAACTATTTACATAGTATGTACATTGCATTAGGCGTAATAAGTAAAGATGATTTCAAGTATATGGGAGGATGTATATATGTGCAAATACTATGCCATTTTATGTAAAGGTCTTGAACGTCCATAGATTTTGGTATCCATCGTGGTTCTAGAACCGGTGCCCTTGGATACTGAGGGATGATTATACTCATTTAGCAAACATTAGTTCTACTATGTGCCAGTTAGGTGCTGGGAAGTTGACCAAGTTAGAGTTCCTGCCCTCAAATGAGACAGGTAGCAAATCAGTGGTTATAGCCCAGAGTGTTATGGAAATGCAGTCTACAAGGAGAGAAAGGAGGAAGTATTGTTTGGCGGGAAGGTGGGCAACTCTCAGGCATGTGACCTCGTTGCCTCTTTTCTGTTTTGGGACCTAATGGACTCATAGGTTTCTCCAATGGGTCCTTTTTTTTTCTCCATGGTATTTTCTTTTCTTTCGGAAAATATAAAATTCCAACCCGCTGATTTAAGAATATCAAACCAGTGTAGATTATCACATTAAGGATTTGTTTATGTTAAGATGGTCATGTTTATATTTTTAAACTTAGATCTCAGGGTTGGAAGGACTCTGTATAGGACAGAACTGAAGCACAAATAATTATGTAGCTCCTGCTGTTAGAAGGAAGCAAAGTCATCTTTCAGAGGTGTGCGTCTGTTCATACATTCACTTAAGAAATATTAAAAAATATCTCCTATGTGGAAAAGGCACTCAATTCTGAAACACAATTCTCCCACAGGCTTTTTTTCCTTGGATAGAGATATTTCAGTCAGTGTTTTTATAATGACAATAGTTGCTGCTGGTACTTATATAATTTTTCTATGTAGTCACATTGATATATATAGTGATGTATTTTTTAAATTTATTTTTTCATTAACAGATAATTGTACATATTCATGGGCTACATAGTGATGCTTTGATACATATAATGTATAGTGATCAGATCAGGGTAATTAGCATATTTGTCATCTTAAACATTTATCATTTCTTAGTATTGGGAAATTTAATATCTTCCTGCTAGCTGTTTGAACTATATAATAATTGTTAGCTATGGCCATCTTACAGTGGGATAGAACACTGGAACTTATTCCTCCTATCTAAGTGTGATTTTATATCCTTGAGCAAATCTCTCCCTGTCCTTCCTTTCTCTCTAGCCTTTCCAGCCTCTAGTAGCCTCTATTCTACTTGATCACATGGGTTTTTAATTAGGGAATTCTGAAGGATATGATGAATAATGCTATTAAGAGCAAATTCAGGAATGAAAAATTCAGTTGTTGTTTTTTCTTCCTTTTTTAGGGCAAGTTAAAGTCTTCAGAGCCCTGTACACGTTTGAACCCAGAACTGTAAGTGTTCAGTTTTTAACTTTTGAAATTGACAGAAAAACCTAAGATGATTTTATTTAGACATTTCCTCTGGTGTGAATGGTCTGCGTTTTCTTTGATAAACCTAGGTAATTCTCAGGAATGGATGTTGGGTGCAGAGCTGTGCAAGTTAAGTCCCGGCTGATTCGCATGTCTTCTGCATCTTGAGGTCATGTCTGTCTTGTAAAGCTTCTCCCCACATAGTGACACCACCTGCTTTCAAATTGACAAGTGACTTGCATATAAAGCATGGCGACCCTATCTTAGTCATCCTTCTGCTGAATCTCATACTAACCTTCCTTCATTCTCCTCTTGACCTTCTACCTCAAAATAGCTCATAATGGTACCCACTGCTAGCCTTCCAGGACAATTTTTTATTTCTTTGCAGTGTGCATTTTCATTGTTATAGTTTCTGGTATCCATCCATTTATCTGTGGTTTATTAAGCACCTATTATATGCCAGACACTGGTCCAGGCCTTGGTACTAGTGCAGGGACAACAGAAAGGATGCTGTCATAGAGGTTGCATCCAGTGGAGAGAGACAGAGAGTAAGCAGACAAATGAATGTGACTGTCAAGGGCTAAGTACTCTGGAGAAAAATAAGGAGGGTGAGGGGCAAAGAAGTGAATGGAGAAAAGAGTGCTGTCTTCAATAGCATGTTCAGAGATGGCCTTTCTATAAAGGTGGCATCGGGGGAGAGACTTGAAGGAAGTGAGGGAGCAACAAGTGCAAGCAGCATCCTTGGTGGATGCTAGAATAGAAAAAACAGGGAAGACAGCATGGCTTGGAAAGTTGCAAACACAGGAGAGGGTGGTGGGAGACTACTTCTGAGAGTTGGGGTGAACTGGAAGGGCAAAGCATTTAGGGCCTGTGGATCTCATTTCGATTTTGCTCTGGGTAAGATTGGAGGTGAGTAGATGGTTTTGATACAGGAGTGACTAGATGGTGAAGCAGGGAGTTGAGACAGTTAGGAGGGAAAGGAAAGAAACCAAGAAGGTTTCTCGGGGAGAAGGGGTGTATGAGTCCGTTTTTACTCTGCTGATAAAGATGTACCTGAGACTGGGTAATTTATAGAGAAAAAGAGGTTTAATGGACTCACAGTCATGGCGGAAGGCAAAGGCATGTCTTACATGGCAGCAGACAAGAGAGAATGAGAACCAAGTGAAAGGGGAAACCCCTTATAAAATCAACACATCTTGTGAGACTTATTCACTACCACGAGAATGGTATGGGGGAAACTGCTCCCATGATTCAGTTATCTCCCACCAGGTCCCTCCCACAACACATGAGAATTCAAGATGAGATTTGGGTGGCGACACAGCAAAACCGTATCAAGGAGAAACCTGGTATCCTTGACTTTTCTCTCATATATGCTAGGGACCAGAGCTTTCTCTCTGTGGGCAGTCAGCTTGCTGCCGGCTTCATCTGGGTTTGTCCCAGACCCCACTGTCCCCAAAGTTAGAGGCAACTCAGAAGGTCACACAGAGCAAGTGACACTGAACATCATTTTGCTGCCATCAGGCCAGGGCCTGACTTCAAATCCCACATCTGTCTTTTACTTACTGCATGAATTTTCTTACCTCACAGCCATTGATTCCTCATGTGAAATAGGGATACCATTCTGCAGTGGCACCATGCCGTGAGCGTGGAGTGCGGTGAATATTGAAGGCCTACCACATGGTGAGCACCAAAAAATGGTAGCCACTAATAGACTAACATGGGAGTGTGCATATTCAGACAGTTCTCCCAAGAGTTTGTCCACGAAATGTTTCTGGAACAAGAAAGGTGGGGTTTTTATTCTTCTCACCAAGAGATTCCACTGACAACTCTCCTGTGTTGGTGAGGGATTGGGAGTGGGTAGTGTTAGTTTACTGAGCCTGCCATAACAAAGTTCTACAGACTGGGTGGCTTAACCAAAAGAAATTTATTTTCTCACAATTCCGGGAGCTAGAAGACAGAGATCAAGGTGTCTGCAGGGTTGGTTTCTTCTGAGGTCTTGCTCTTTGGTTTCTAGATGTCGTACTTCTCTCCACATCGTCTCATGGTCTTTCCCCGTATGTCTGTGTTTTCATCTCCTCTTCTTATAAAGATGTGAGTCATTGAATTAGGGTTCACCCTAAAGACCTCATTTTAACTTAATTAACTCTTTAAAGTCCTTATCTCCAAATACACTCGTATTTGGAAGTACGGATGCTCTTCAACTTACGATGAACCCAATAAACTCGTTGTAAGACAAGTTTTACAAAAAGTAAAACTTTTTTTACTTTTGTAAGTAAAGTAAGACAAGTTGTACAAATTTGTACAGATTTACAAAAAATCTGTAAATCAAAGATGCATTTAATACCCCCGATAAGCCCATCGTAAAGTTGACAAATTGTTAAGTTGGATCATCGTATGTCAGGGGCATCTGTACTGGGGGTTGGGACTCTAATGTAAGAATCTGAGGTAGGGAGAGGGCACAGAGAGCCCATAACAGGGAAGTGTGAGGCCCAGGGCTGTTGTCTTTAAGCCCTGCTCACAGGGAGCGCTGTCATTTTATGCCTCGGCTTGTCCTTATCAGTTGTGTCCTGCTTGGTTGCATGACCCTAAGAGGGATAAGAGTGAGAGAGGTTAGGGGTGGTCAGGTGCCAGCCTGGGCCACTCAATGAATAGACCATTCTCTGCTGCCTCTGTGAATCTAGAATGGGACCTGCATTTACTTTGTTTTGAGGCTTGAGGTGACTCCTGACTCTATCTCCTCTCTTAGTATGCTTCGTTGTCCCCACCTTTGTCCTTTCTCACCAACCTCCTCCTTCCCCTTTGCTTCCTCATGACCTCACTTCCCACCTACAGACTTAGCTCCTCCATTCCGTCTGTAGTCTGAGCTAGATTGGCATTCCTCAAAGGTGGCTTTGCTTCCACCTCCTGCTTCAATCTTTTATTTGACTAGAGATATCGTCCTCTATAGTCCAGTCCCTATGCCAGCCCCGCTGTGCTCTGCTCCTTCCTGTTCTTGAACTATCCCGTCTGGAGGTGACTCACAGCAGAACCTATCTCTCAACCCTTTCTAGACCCATGGCCCTGTCCCTTCCAAGCTCACCTTACATACTTCCTCTTCTGTAAAGACTTTTCTGACCACCCCAGCTGGAGGTGGACTGCCTCTCCCGCCTCTGAACTTCCACACTTGGTATTGCAGTCCTGCTCACGGGCACGGCATCTGAAGAAGCAGGGTAGCACCAGGTTCAGAGTCCGTACTAGGGTTCAGGACCAGCTCCACTTCTTGAGCAGCTGTGTGACCTTGAGGAAATTACCGAACCTCTCTGTCACAGTGTTCTCATCTGTAAGGTGAGGATAATAATAGTCCCACCGGGTTTTAATGAGAATTAGATGAGATTAATTGTGTAAAGCTGCTATTGCTACTATTAAGGAGTACTTGTTACTATTGACGGAATAGTGGTTGCTGTATTAGTAGACATTTAACAGATATTTTTGATGGGTTTTGTATTGATTTATTTACTTCCAGTTCTACTCCAAAATGGAGTTTCTCCACTGCTTTTAAAAAGATCTTAGTTATGATTGAATATACAGGAGAATATACATTTAATTCATTAGGCTTTAAAAAATATTCAATATTTAAAATGTTGTATTTTTAATATTTTTAGTCCCAAGGATTGTAGGCCGCAGTCAGTAATGACCACCTCAAGCCCTGTTGCCGCCATATTTCTCCCCCGTTCAGCTCCCTTCAATCCCGGTATGAAGTGGGTAGCATCTAGCACAGCAGGCAGCCTCTAGCTCCCACAGGCCTTCCTGACTGGTAAAGTGCCATGCCATACCCATTGTTAAATTTTGAATATCATTCCAGAACTAGATTTGTCTTACCTTCTTTTTCTGAATGAGAATTTCTGTTGGAAGCTGTTTGGTCTTTCTCCCCTCTGACCAGCAGCCGTCTTCTCTGGAGGGATAGATACACCACAGCATATCCCAAGCTGACCTGGCCTCCTCGAAGTCAGTGGGACCAGGCAATATTGAAAGGCTAAGGTGGGCTCTGAGGAACATTGCTGGCATGTGCAGCCCCTCAGGCAGGCCTGGGTCCAGTGTTAAGCTCCTGTTCCCCCTCAGGAGATGGGGACAGCAGTGCCCAACCCCAGTCTTGGGGATCCATTGAACTGGAAGAACGCTGAGTAGCTCCTGGTTCTTCTTGCCAACCCATTTCTCATCTGTCTTGCTTAAAGGCAAGGGTGTCTTGGCACCACCCAGCCCCATTTGGTTCTTTTTTCTCACCCAGCTCCTTTCAATAAAGTGTCAACCACAGACCTGGCTGGACTGGATTGACGAGTGTGAAGACAGACTGATGAGGAGGGAACAGAATTTCCTGTGTGGTTGAGGCACATTGATTTCCAAAGGGAAGCCAGCAGGACCCTGCTCTGTCGTGTAAAGGTTGCTGGGCTGCACTAGGTTAACAGAGCCACGTGTAGAGGAAGGAGACTGGGAATCTGAGAGCTGAGGTAGGAGCCCAGCCCTGCCACTTACGCTGATTTGCAGAGATTCTTTAACTTCTCTAAGCCTGGTTGTGAAATAGAGATTGTATCCATGACCCAGCCAAGCCTAGTGAGTTGTGAGGACTAAATGAGGTCAAGTATACTTTGCAAGTAAAATATGCTGCCATTGGTTTTGTTGTACTGCACTATAGGGGTGGGGGAGTTGGGAGTGGATAGAGACAGGTATTTTCCAAGGCGGCCAGCTTTTAATCTGGTCATGACACCATGATGGCCAATAATGGCTGTGTGTGATGCCTTTTGTATGAGAGAAAGCATAGGTGGTGGGTAAGAGCAGGGACTCTGTAATCTGACTTAGAGTTCAAGTGCAGGTTCTACCATGTACCTGCTCTATCGCCTTGGACAGGTTTCTCATCTATAACATGATGATAAGAATAGCACCCACTTCATATAGTGTTCTTGGTGAGGAGCAAATTAGTTAATATTTCTGAATGCCCAGACCAGTACGTAGCACATAATATAGACAATAAAGTGTTAAATAAAAACATCTGTGGAGAATTTGTTTTCTCTTTTTATGAATTTTGAGGGCTTCAGACTAACAAATGTGAAAAATTTCAAAAGTATATCAGTTTTTCTAAACTTTTCATAAAGTATATTTGCATAAACCAACAAAATTAATGCCTTGGGAATTATATGTTACCAAGAATATACGGAATGGGAATGGGAATATATGTTACTAAGTGTGTACTCTTTGCTGTAACATCCCAGTGGACAATAGCTTTCTTATTCGGATACCTTGTTGTTCAAGGAGAGAGGAAAGGAGGAATGTGGTTAAAAAACAAAGAATAAGCTGGACATGGGGAAGTGCATACTTCATTATGTTACTGTTTTCCCATTTCTGTTCCCTGACTATGATGCTGGGAATTTAAAAGTAGATGCTCGTTGAACAATTTACATCAGGTATCCTGCTAGTGGTTTCTTAATGGAAAATGTGAATATTGCAGGTGAAATCTGTTTTTAAAACCATGAAATTACCGTGTTGTATGTACTGTGTACTGCCACCAACACTGCGAAGAATTTAGTAGACTACCTACTTAGCTAGATTAGGAAAACGTGTCCCTGGTTTCTTTGGAAGAAGATATTTTACGAGTAGTAGCATTCTGTGTCTGGGAGCTATGGATTAAAAGAGAATAAACTGTTGACTGTAATTTCTCGGGATGAAAAAATGAGGTCACTTTTTGCCTGACTGAAATGGACTGCCTGTTCTCGTTGCCTCCGTTGAAAAACAAGTCTGACCTAATGGGCGGCTTGTGGCAGACACCACTATTGAACGGCAGCCATTAATTCAAAAACCGAAATAGCACTGAGAGGTATCGAAGCGACTGGCGCTCAGTGGTCTTTCTCAAATGATGCACTTTCCCAAACC